TCATCTTGGAAGATGACAGGAATCCCCTTGTTGCGGAAGCTCTGTCTCTCATCCTCATCACCTACATTCATCTTGCCGGTTCGCCGACGCCGATAGAGAACGCAGGCCACGATGCCAGCCAAAATCAACATGGCAGCAATGATCACTGCTGGCACAACGAAAGTCACCAGGTATTCATCTGAGGTTCCTATAGGCTGAGTGTCTTCACCTGGCAGGTTGGTGCCATCTGGATAATGCCATACTGTCAGTTCTCCCTGGCATTTCCCAATTGGAGTAACTGTGATTGCCTTCACATTAAATTCTGGTTCCATGATTGCTCCCACACGCTCTGTGATAGTATGGTCTTCATTTATCAGTAACTTCCTTAAATGGCTGATCTCAACTTCTGGGCAATGGTCAGTGGGCACTGTACGGTTGTGCCAAGCCACAACAGTTGAGCCTTCAGTCACAGAGCTCAGAGAGATGGCACTAGTATTTGGGTCTCCAAACAGAATTTGGAGCTTTTCCATGAATTTCCGCTTCATAGATGAACTGCTGAAAAATGTCTCAAATGGCATAGCCAGTGTCATGGCAAACTCAACATTGTACTGAACTTTAGGTGCAGAGTGAACAACTACAACCAGACCATCATTTGCTGTAAGACCGCCACTGTCTTCACATACCTGTGCAGAAACTTCAGTTAGAAAGCAGTATGGCATAAACTTTCACAAAAAGAAAAACATTTACATAATGGGAGACAAAATGTTTAAAATTCCAGAGGACAAGAATGGCATGAGAATACCTTACTCAAAATGGACACAAAGAAAAATGATCAAAGGCATTAAAAAATGAGCAAATTGTAAGTGAGTTGCTCTCAAAATTTTAAAACATTATTATTACCGCAGCATTGAAATTTTGTGCTCAAATATTGGCACTAATAACAGCTGATATATTGAAAGACTCTATGAAAATGAAATAGGTTGATTTTTCTTCTTACATTCAATATACTCACATTTATCTGCAGCCACTTCTGTTAACAAAAAGTTTGTGTAACATGTAATGTCACCTTTACATGTACTTTCACCACACTTTACTTTATGTCCGCCTTCAAAAACACTTTGTAACAAACAGTACAACCAATGCTTTCATATTTATCTGAATCTAAAATAAGCCCTCCCCACCTTTTCCAGCTTGAAAGAAATTAATATAATTATTTGTATTAACAAAATATCCTGAGGAAGTCAAATATTTTATGTTAGCAAAAGTACTGTGCAATCTATGTATTTAGGCTTAGTAGCGTAGTGGGTTTACCTGTGTGTAACGCTTCACAGTGAAATCAAACCTACATACATAAAAACTGGAAAAATAAAATAGCAATAAAGTGGAAAACAAATAAATGTAATTTATAGACCACCTGACTTGTACGCTCACTCACTCTACAATAAAGGATCATCCTTGAACAATCTGTAGGCATTCAAGTACTCAAGAAATTAATTTCATGGAACCAGAGTTCATCAACATGATGACAAAAACCTGTGAACTCTACATTATAAAACCAAAAAACACTTGCTAAGATTAATATATTTCTTCTTCACAATTTTGTTATGTAGCCAACCCACTCAAAACATGGCTATGAAGTTACAATAAGTCAAGACCAGTCCACGGAGGACATGGGATAGGGGTGTGCATTTTCATTTGAAATGTGAAACATAAACAAAATGAAACAAACTTACTCTTTTAGGCAATCTACCAAAATTTGCTGAAAACATTTTGTGGAGTATTTGTTAAATTAATGGTCTTTACTCTCCAGCTCCTAGGACAAGGAGAGATGGGCAAATGCATGACAATTATAAATTTCTTTATTCATGTTTTTTAAATAACAGAATTATACCAGTGATGGAGACAGCAAGGACCAATGAACCTCTGATAAACTTTTACCAGACTACATGGCACTACCACCCAGAATTATAGCATTTAGTGCAATAGAGCTAAAAACATGAATGGACAAAACACAAGGATGGTTGGCTATGGATCGCCACAAATTCGGTGACACGGGCCAAACAAAACATAAATATGCAAAATAGTTACTATCATGAAAATTACTCTATTCACAAGTATTTCAGAAGTGTTCTAAACAGTGAGAAACAATATTTGCAACACACTCACCAGTTGATATTCCTTACGGCCTTCATCTTCCTTCATTGGAGTGCCAAAGAACTCCTGATTTTTGATGTCAAACTGTAACCAGTTTGTTGCTAGTACCTGTGATCTGTCCATTGTCAGGAGCAAAAGTTTCAGGTTACGGGTACTGCCATCTTCAGGATCATAAAATGTATCCTGTAGAGACACAACTTCTGTTAAGTATAATCATATGGCTGTCATCATTCTACCCTGCTTCTTGCAGGAGTAGGGTTACATACTTTCCAGTTTAGAGATCACAAGTCTGAATGAATTCATTTCTTTCAGTTATTATCACTTTGAAATTAAAAAAACATTTCTGAACAAAAAAGCTAAAAGAAACCTGATCTCACAACATTCTTTGAACAAGCTGTGAACCATCACCAATCTATTACATGGAAAAAGTAGAATTAAGAGAAAAGTTACCTCTGGCACTTTGAACACAAGCAGTCTGCCAACCGTGGCATTGATGTGGTCCACTGGGTTCCTTATGGTGGGAGGGTAGTTCACGTTAGGTACTTTAGGATACAGCGAAGGTGTCTGAGGCTTTCCTATCACCAGCTCACACTGATGAAGGCCCTGGTATGTTACTTTCTTTGGTTTCAGAAATGGAGCAAGGACACTGTTTAAAGCAGTTGACGGATCTCCATTTTCATTCAGCACCAACACCTGAACACAGTATTTTAAGTCAAACCAAAAGCTCTGACATCGCAGTTTCAATTTATGGTAGAATCTCCCTATAAGAAAATTCTGTTACACACAAGATCTCATGCAAAGGCTAACAACAGCCAATTTATAAAACTCAAAATTGTGTGTGTGTGTGTGCTGCAAGCCAAAGGAAAACAGAAGATCTCATGCAAAGGCTAACAACACCCAATTTATAAAACTGTGTGTGCTGCAAGCCAAAGGAAAACATCATTAAAATTTTAATAAATACACTTTCATACATGTTTTCAATTTAAAAAAAGTCTTGCAAGGGGAAAAAATGGTAATAAAATATTCAAATGACTTGTACTTTTCATTTTATGAATTGATGAATATTTAAGAGAGGCTTGGCACTCCTGTGCCACCTAGTTCTCAATAATAATAATAGTTTACAAACAAAATACATCAGGACAGATACTAAACTTATGTCAGGACAAAATTATAACGCATGATCAGATAGTAATACAAATATAACTTGTACCACCACCACCACAGAAAATTATGTGTGTTCCATGTTAACTGCCATGTGAGGAAGCTAGCACACCTACAATGTAATAGGCTAAACAGTAAGAGCTAGTGCGTATTCCTTCTCAGTCATAGACAGCCATCTCAGGACCAGTAATCACCAAACAGGATCCTTTTCAAAAATACATATGAAAGGGTCCTCTAATTAAGATTACCCACATGAGCTATCAATTTTGAGAGGTTCCAAACAGAAATTAATTTACATTAACATGTCATCATTTTCCAGCATAATACAAGACTACAGGACAAACAAGCAAGACAACTCTGTGGTGTACATCCTGTTACTGCTTTTATTTTTGATTCATGAATGCTAACATTTAATAACCTCCTATAAATAATAAAAAACTGGTGTGGCTGATGATCAAGGACATCAGTAGCTACATGATGAACAGCTGGTTCAGGTAAACTAGCACCAAGCAACCCAAGTGAGAAGTGTTGCTTCAGGTTCATACCTTGAAAAGTCTGTTTATTTCATCTTTGGGACATGTGTTGCGAGGCAAACTTTCGTTGGTCCAGGTGAAGTTGACAGAGCCAGACTCCTCGATCACACTTCGAACCACAATCTGACTTGTGTCCGGATCTCCATACAACCTTGCCAGTCCATCCAACACTTTCAGCTGCCAGTCTACCGACGATGCAAAGTCATATTTCTTCTCAATGCGCAGCTGAAGTGTGAACTCATGGTTCATGTTGCGACGACCCTTGTGGTGCTGTACTGTCAGTTCCAGAGTGTCTGACACAGATTTCCCTTCTCTGTCCATTGCCTCTATGATGAACTTCCACCTTGACACATGCTCTTCAAGAGGCCTACAACACAAAAAATGCTCTCTAGAGATCAGCAATCGTGTGCCTGTGCCTTCTGATAAACACATGCTGACTCTGCTAAAAATTCATGAGCCTACCCTTCCTGTCCAGCTACTTTATCCGAGAGCCAAGATTTTACACCAATATTTTTAAACACCCCTTGATACATTTCCCAGCTGCATATGATATTGCTAAGTCTGACAGATACAAAATCCTGGCTTTCCAGAGTCTCTGATTAATTTCCTTTAGGACTTATCCATTTCATTAAATTTTATTTCATATTAAAAATGGGTTACACATTACTGCATATTGCTCACATCCAACTAATGATACCACTAACAGAGCAATGTTCTTTTACACAATTCAATGGTAATAAAAATCTGGCTCTACAGAGTTCAATCACATTTGTCATTTCAGTTACTCCTTTACTTACAAGCCATAAACTTCCTGCTTCTCTGGATGAAATTGGAGCCAGGATGATGGTGGTACAGATTTTCCTTCCTCTGTTTTAAATATTAGTCGCAGATACCTAGTGTTGCCATCCTCCAGATCAGAGAATGAATCTTCTGGGATTACAAAGCTGTAGAAATAGTAAACAGCATATGAGGTACTACAGACTCATGATTCACACACATTTTAGTGGTTTAATTTGTTATTAAAATGTACTTTCAACTACTGTCTCAGAACACAACAAATAACATTAGATATTCCAGCATTTTACAAAAAAATAAGTATTATTAATGACATGCCCAACTAAAATGCACCAACAATCCAATTTTGTTGTTGTGGCTGTATGGAGTACAATAACTAAACAGTTTGGGGGATGTTAAGATTGGTAATATGGTACAGAAAATAAAAAGCATAAATGCAGCAAATCATTTTGCACGTTTAGTCTACATCTCAAAAGCACATATCAAGAGAGACAACAGATTAATATGCAAAAGCTGAAATCTATAAATTTACAAATAAACATTTCAAAACTTATGGTTGTTAATCAATATTGACATTTCAATACATTACATACAGACATCAGCACAAAAGTTCCTCACAAATAAATTGTTTTCTTATGCAAATATTATGTTGGAATGTGACCACTGTCTAAAGTATACCTGACATAAATGATGTTTTGGGACTTGCCTGTAGTGCCAAATTTCAAAAATAACTTTTTTACTTTAATATGAAAAATACAAAAGTATTAACAAATCTGTCAGCATTACAATCAACTGAATGAAAAATTACAGTCAACTCCTAAAACATCATGGATATCAAACATACATCAAGCAACAGACAAATCCCAACACAAAATTCATACAAACCTTTACAAAAAATATTATTGTTCTCTTTTGACTGGTTTCCCTCAAATGTACATTACACCTGGCATTATGTGCTAAATGATATCTGCCACATGCTTTGCATTCATGAATGGTTCCATACCTAAAGATTTTGCCTGCCACAGCAACCTGTTTTGCCAGACGATGCTCAATCGTTGGCTGAATGTTCTTCACGCCATACAACACTTCTTCAGTTGTCCTTGATACTGATGATCGCTCACTTGTAGAGCTCTCTGTACTGGACTGTTCATCTGTTACGAGGAAAGGCGTAGCTGAGGGTGTGGACTCCTCTGTCATGGGAGAGGTCTCCGTAGTATCAGAAGTGCTGCTACCAGTACTACTACTGCTACTGGTACTGCTGCTGCTGGATGAGGGCAGAGGCTCTGTCATCTAGCCACGGAAACAAACCCTATAGTGAACTCCATTATACGGTACATACAAAATGAGTGATGTAGCAACAGACGGATGTCATCAAGTTCCATGTTAAACTTTGGGAAAAGGCTAAAGCACCAATTAAATGGGGTACTACATGAAACTAGAGGTCTACCAGACATGGTTGGATACAAGTGTACACAGAGATTCTAATTTCCCAAACATTTTGTCATGCCCATACAACTAGCTTATATTTTACTATTACAGTACCAAGTACTGTTCAACAGAAATTGGTTACCATCGATCCCCCTCTTCCTTAAACAGTTGCACACAAAGCTCTTGATCATAAACACGTTTGTAGTACAAAAGGAATTTGTACACATAGCTGCCCCATTTAATACACATTCAAAAGCAATCTATGACAACTGTTTAATTCACCAAGATACCAGAATGAAGCACTACTGTGTAAAATGACAACACTGATCAACAGAAACATGTTCATAAAACTTCAAAAAGTGGTAATTTAATTATTTAATTACACTTACAGGTAGTTCGGGTAACCTATTTTTTGGACAAAGGGAATGTATGTGTACACTCGTAAGACTGTTATAACATATATGCAATTGAATTATTAAGAATGTCATAATAAATAAAGTTTGATTATTTTAGTACTATTCATTTTAAGGAAAATCTGGGAGAAGAACAGGCACTTTTGCTAGTATACAAACAATTCAGTTTAATGTATTCCACATTATTGTACGTAATGCACTGTAACATGTCAGCATTCACAAGGCACCTTTTGTGTAATCTGTGCATACCTGTGAGGAGGGCATTTCTGTTGCGATCGAAGACTCGGCTTCTGATACAAACACAGGCGTAGCTGATGGCGTAATCTCCGCAAACTCATCATATGCTCTACTGGGCTCCACCAGTATCTCACTGCTCAGCAGGTGAGTAGGACGAACAGGCACCTGCAACAGCATGTGGCAAAATCAAAAACCAAGAGATGTCATTTCTTCATCCTTTCGACATGCAGGAAAAAGACAGAAGGGTCACACCATAACTGGAAATAACAGAAGGAAAATGTAACCTTTCACGATGGTAGTTAATTATAATACACTGCAAAATGGGATAAACACAGGGACATAAGAACTGCTCAAATTTAAAAACCTACAAATATAACCATTTGCTTTGCACTTTTCCAGTAATGTATTTACAGGGTTCAAGTGGTTCTCAAAATGAACCAGAATTAATTCCCTGAACAGCATTAACCCAAAATGGGCACATAGTAGAAACTTAATTTGTGAATATTATTTAGATAAGTACCGGCTTCAAACTGCAGGCACGTGTTCATAGCAGAGTGACATCAGTGGAATGGCGTACTTTACAAATAGGCAAGTACATGGCCATTACATGTGTTTCTTGTAATCTGCCCTGGAGAGTTAAAGATATGCCTTAATGGTGGCCATCAGTGGAACAGTGTTCATATCCCGATCTGTTTGATCAATAGTAAAAATATGAATGCAGTAGAGCATCTGCCAACAAAGGCTCCACAATGACGTGCAACATGTAATATCCAGACTTCTCCAAACTTAATTTACGAACATAACACATTTAATTTCTAAGTCTATGTAAAAAAAATGCAGTATTCATAAACTTATTTGCCAGAACATTCCCAAAACTAAATCAAAGATTTACTACTGATTCACACATTTTCTAAAACAGTAGAAACTTTTTGAAAAATGTGGAGTAATATAATCAGAATGTGTCTATTTCTTCCATCTGACGGACACAGTCTGTAAAAATCATATACATATGTCACTCACTAGCACTGGGGTGGGTAAAATAGTCCCATAGATAACTGGACTTGTTGGCAATCTGTATCCCACATTTGACGCAACCTCCGGCACAATGCTCATGCCAGGACCAGCCTCAACCTCCCCGTGATGATGCCTGTGGGGATGCGAGGCTGTCGGTTCAGGGAACACAGGCGAGGGCATCGTTGGAACAATATGAACACTTGGCACTGCTTCAGTCTCACTTTCCACAGCTTCATCCTCATCTGCTTCTCCTACATCCTCATCCACAATTTCATCATCATAATCCCCAGAGCCAACCTGTAACACAAGCCATCATCCTTATTACAATACACTAAACTTCCCCAAGCATCAATCAATGCTCAGCTAAATAACATTTAAATATTCAGTTCCACTACAAAGAAAACACAACAAATCTCCATTACAAAGATCAACTGACTAATCTTGTTTATTCCTAGGATCATACAGAATCCAGGAATAAAATCCATTATACGTAGTTTAAACTTGGTGTTAAAAGGGATAATTCTTCGGAAGTTTAGTAACACTGTTTAACTAATAATAAAATACATGAACAAATGAGGAATTTCAGATGTTTAGACTGTAATATGAGCAATGAGGGTGACAATGATAAAATTATGGAAGGAACAATTTTAATCCCTGTAACTGGAACAAGCAGCAGCATTAGTATCACTCCAGTATTAAATTAGTGACCATCCAAAGAATACTCCACAGCAGTCAACATAGAAGAATCTATATCCTGACTGATACCTACCTCTCTGCGTTCCCTGTGAGAGGAGGAAGCTTCAGTCTTCACATGCCAGCCCACGATGGGCTGCTGCAGCACCTCTGATAAGGTACCATCACGGGCTTGCTGCTTCAGCTGTTGCAACAACTGCACGTGCTGCTTCCACAGATGCCCATCACAGCCAACCTGCAAAAACGGGAAGTGGACCAGATGTGAGCACATGTTCAGAAATTTTTCCAGAATACTGCAGCGTTAATATATGATTTTATTATATCCTATAATCATAAACTGAACATTAATCATATATTTTAAACACCAACCTCACAAGAAAATCCAGAATCTCTAAGAAAGTTAAGATTTTTCCCAACATTTCATTCAGGATCTTAGCAACTAGGTTACATAGGAATCTGAGTATTTTAATTTTTAGAAAGTTTTAGGTTCTCTTGTGATGCTGCCACAGTACACACCATGAAGATAGTGGGGGGAAGGGAAGAAGAAGAAGAGGAGGTATAGCTCCTACTCATTCTAGAACTCAGTATTACATAAGGGTGAGTAATCAGTGTCATACCCCGGCCAAGCTTTACCCTCAGGGAAAGGACTGTCTGGTACCCACTGGATGGAAGGACCCCAGAGGCAGTCTGGACACAGTGGCCAGAAGAAAAATTCTTTGCCTCTGCCCGGGATCAAACCCCAGTCCACAGTCAATCACCACACTGACTGAGCTATGAAATATTACTAATATTGTATCCAAATAGGGTTCAGTTACATCATCTTACAAAAAATAAGAGTAGAGTAGTACATATTTAGTGTTGTAACATGTATGCAAATTTGCATACCTGCCACTGAATGGAGGTAGAATGTCTGCTTGTCCTCTTCTTCACATTTCCTGGACCTGCCAGTACAACTGTATCCCCCAACAAATCTTCCTGCTTATCCATAGGTTGCAATGTGAACAAATCCTAAAAGGAGAAATCAAAATCATTGTGAACAGTAATTATTGTAAATATCATATCAAATAGCACTTATATTTGATACAACCTTTACAAAAAGAGCCAAAAATGTTGTACTTATTTCTAAGTACAGGCATACCTTGTTTTATTATGCTTCGCAGATATTGTTTTCTTTACAAATTGAAGGTTTGTGGCAACCCTGCTTCGAGCAAGTCTATCGGCGCCATTTTTCCGACGTGCTCACTTCGTGTCTGTGTCACATTTTGGTAATTCTCGCATTGTTTTTTTTATAGACATAATGCTATTGCACACTTAATAGACTACAGTATAGTGTAAACATAACTTTTACATGCACTGGGAAACCAAAAAATTTGAGTGACCCGCTTTATTGCGGTGGTCTGGAACTGAACCTGCAATATCTCTGAGGTATGCCTGTATTTCAATCCAAAGAACATACAATTAAAAATTAGTTTTACTGACAAAACTCCAGATAGCATCACATAGCAAAATAGAAAATAATAATTATATAATTATTTAGTAACACCAATTTTTCTTATTCTTCGTTAAAATAAAGCATTTTCTATAAACATACATAACTAAACACTAAACAAATAAGCAGAACCCTTCTAACAAGTCTCTGCATGAAATTGAAAGAACTTTTACTGTGTTGCCTTCCTGAACACATTACTTTATAAAATAAATTGAATTACATACATGGTTGAGAGACAGGAACCCAGAAAGATTCTTTATGGCCACTACTCGTTGTTTTGGTTTCAGTTGTTCAAATTTGGCATCCATTACTACAGTGAGCATTGTAGCATCTTCCCCAACATTGCAATTAATCTGAAACAGTCCAAAACCTGATAAATTGACATAAAAATCCAAATCACATGGCAAACACATCACACCAGAAATTTAACAAAGCACATTTCCAAAATCAGTGAAGTGAAATGATAAAACAATTTGTTCCCTGATGTTTTACAATATTTTATTCAACTGATTAAAAATTAATATTTGTAATTTATTTTATTTTTCTTTCCTTTTCTGTCTTCCTTCCGATATTTAAAATCCAGATTTCTGTCTTCTGGGTTGTTGCGCTGTGTAGTCTGGTCGATGTTAACCAACGTTTCACAGGTTATACTGCCTCCATCATCGCCCTGATGACGGAGGCAGTATCACCTCTGAAACGTTGGTTAACATCGACCAGACTACACAGCGCAACAACCCAGAAGACAGAAATCTTTATACTCACCGCTGTGAAAACCTCAAATCTTACATTTAGAATCCACTTTGTCTGTCTGCTATTGGAAAGAAGTAGCTCTGACAATAACGGTTTAAACATTTATATTAATCGGTACATTCTATAAATTTCCAAAAGTATTCAAATAACTGCATGTCTTTCACTGCAGTCTGCGTAATATGTTATGTTATGAGACATAATACTGCTGTGTATTTGATTAAAATAATAGAAAGTACAAAATAAAAATAAAGGTTTTCCTGAACTTGAAAAGACTGGGCATGCCAAGGGATAAATTGCTCTAGCAGTTAAACTCATAATTGTCTGAAAGGCCATTATTTATCAAGACTTTCTCTTGGCACTATAATTCAAGAATACTGACTAATAAGGGAAACTATTGAAAAGAAGAGATCTGAAGTTCTAATGGCAATGTGTATGAAGATGGTTGTCTTGTGGGGTTAAATGCCATCTAGTCTGGTAGATACTGATGTCAGACAGTATCTACCAGACTACATTGTACTGCATCCCAGAAGTCAGCCATCTTCATTTTCAAAAGATGTTTTGAACAGAACTTGCAAGAATATAAACTGCATTTAACACATAAAACATGCCTTAAAAATTCATGCCAATTAGGTGTAATTTGTGCCTTCTGATATAACCAGTAGACAAAATTTGAACTATTTGTTTATTTTTAGATTTAATTGTGATTAATCCCCCCAGGCCTCCATATGATTTACGCATTGTTTGATACAAGCTGATAAAACTACTCTTGATTTCGCAGTATATTCCCATCTTCTGTGACTGACTCTCATGCTGACATTTCTTTTTATTCCTGTTCTGTCTTCTACTACTACTACTAGCAGAACCCAAGAGAGAACCTCAAAACATTTCAAGTACTAAATTTACATGTTATAGAATGACACTCAAACAACTGCAGTGTAATTAATCAACTACAACTTCGGAGGCTCACAAGTCACCTTCACTTGTATATGGCCCGTTACCTTGTGGTGCTGCCCTGCAAGAGGCACAGGCCCTTTGGAGACCTCACTCCTACAGTTCTCTGAGACATCTATAGAGAACACATCCTTAGCCCAGTCATGAGACCGCTGTCCAAGGGCTCGAACTGTCACGTAGTGTTCACCAACATCTTGTGCGCTGGGAACACCTTCAAAGAGGCCTGTTACTTTATCAAACACCATCCATGATGGAAGTTGAGCCCCACCAGGCCCTCGAGCCTACAGAACAGTAACGCATCCTGTAACACTTGTAACTAATGTACCTGAAGTTTCAGCAACATATGAGATGATCATAAATCAGTTCTGGTCATCCTCCATCCACACAATCTAATTTCACTAACATCCATTACAAAACCTTCTCACTGCTCCAAATTGTAATTTCCCCAACAAAAATAATGTGTTCATTTCTTGTTTTCTCCATTCACGCAATATGTCCAATCCATCATAACTCCCGTGCATTCATTATCGTAATAATATGGACCTGTATTAATTTGTGTTATTTAATATTTCACTGAGTTAATGCTACAATGTAAAGCATAACACATTGATCAGAAAGGATTACAGTTAAACTTGGCTGAGATTAAAAATTACGAATTTAAATATCTTAAATTGTCTCCAAAATAAAAATGTGGCCAAAAAACATTCTACATAAGAAAAAATTAGAAACATTAACCAAAGAGGAAGAAACAGGTAACTGAGAACGTAAATTAAGCATAAAATTAATACCCTAAGGATCACTTGTACTTCTATAAATGGTTATTATACCAACACAGAAAAGAAAAAAAACAGGCCTCAAACAATGACTTAACTTTTCAGTGCTACAAAATTTTAAATATACTCTCTACCTGCCCCTTCCCTCCAAAAAAGAGCCACTGATTCTTTTATTCAAGCTACATAGAAAACCCACCCAACCTCACTGAAACACCCATGAACTCACTAATTTCTAAGTCTGGCTATTCTCAACTGGCATCACTGTGCCCCTGAGTGTGGCTTACCTCATAGTGATCTACATCTCCTGAGAAGGCATCTTCAGGGATGGTCACATGGAAGAGTTTACCGACAGATGCTACAGTGTCAGGGATGCCCCAGAGCCTCTGGATTGGTGATGATGTTGGATGGGGGTGCGGATGGCTGGATGGCCCACTAAGAACCTCTTGTTCCTCTGATGGTGTCATCTCAAATGCAAAGTCCTCTTCCGAGTGCAGCGCCATAACTGCCAGGGCCATGGCCGACCACAGAATGGCACTGAGGTGCCAGAGCCTGCTTGCAGCCATGTCTCTCAGTCTGTTGGCACGGTGTGGCACGTCACTCCATGGCTGCTTTCACCTGCAACAGTGTTCAGATTGGTTGAAATGGTTTTAGAAAATCTGTCATGTACAATATCCCTATGCAACATTCCTTCCCTCTGCCTGCATTGCTGTGCCAAGATTATCCATACTTGAGGTGAGAGCAGACATTGCTATTATTAAAGAGAATAATGGCCAACAGACAGCAACAAACAGCCCATGGATGGTCACAGTTAAACTACTGTGACTAGATCTGAACAGCTTTGAACCCAAGACCTCTAACCAGATGTCCAGTAGCTTCCTTCCACATCACCAGGTCTGACCTTTTAGCCTTGAACAGTTTTCATGCCTGTTAAGTGTGTGTTCTTTCTTCACTGTGCCACACCTCCGTGGCTAGACACCAGATACCCATGTTCAACCCTGGGTGACCAAGTGTGATTCGTGGTGGACAAAATGGCATCGGAGCAAGTCTTTCTCTATGCGCTTCAGTTTCTTACTGCCATCATCATTCTACAATTATTCCAGGTTTCATCCATAATTCGCACATCACTTCTTGTGGTGAAGGTAGTTTCTGTTCTTTTGTATGCAAACTTTTGCATTCCCTTTTACAAAATCTTTTAAAGTCTGGAACTGTTGACAAGAGAATTAAATATCAAATCATTCTTCTATTAACTGGAACTGCTAGTTCTGCCAGTGTTTATCAGCTGGAATTTGATCCAAGTATGTCTGTAATATACGTCATATAAGGCATGTTACCACTGTGACCAGCCACCCATCAAGCTTCAGAGAGTAGGCATAATGAAGAGACGGAGGGATATATTAGATTATAAAATTTGTAGCAGCAAAATACATAAACAAAGGCAGTGTTTTTGTTACAATTCAACTTCATGGGGAAAGGCTGATTCTTTGGCACTTATAGCCTACTGAGTGGCTAATCCACTGTCACGCTAATGAACACATCGACATCACTACTGGTCACACGATTAAAGCAGTGCTTAAAGTCTCTTATTTGCCTTGTGTTGGCACAATTTAATCCTGATTACTGTGCCACTGTCCCCGTGACTATTTTTCTATATATTTTGTAGATGACACGGACATTAAGTTTTCCTGCGTCTAAGCACATCACCATATGTAGATGTATATGGGGCGTAGAGGTAAGGATTCATGAAATTTAGAAAGTGGCACTAGACGAAGACAAGCATTCGATCTCATTCTGAACGGCATCCCCCGGGGGGGATTCAATGGCATTTAACAAATATTCGATATAAGTAGGATTCAAGATTCTCATGCCGGAAAGTACGAAGATGGCTATCTTCTGTCTCGTAGCACTGTGTAGTCTGGTAAAGTTTACCAACGTTTCGGAGGTCTTTGCTGCCTCTGTCATCAGCGGTACAATCCTACCAGAAGTTTGACAAGGTGAATATACGAAACGCAGTAAATTACAACTTCGTTAAGATTTTAATTATTATACTGGGGTGGTTTAAAATATCAGTCACTACAATACTATTAACGCACCACTGTCAACAAAGTTCAGTGTGTGTATTTAGGGTTAGCACTCGTGGGGCACTCTGTAGATCCTCGCTTCCTGTCAGAGCCGGCTTGTCTCGAAAAGCATAAAGACTTCCTTTGTGATTCGTATTTTATCGTCTGTTATTTGTAGCCCGCTCAGCTTATGTGTGCAATGTGATGGAAGCCACGTGTAGAAACAGAACGGCTTCTGTGGCCGGAAGTGGCGAACCTTGAAGGGTACGAAGAACAAGATCGGGCTAATTCGGAGGGCTATTTCTGATTGGCTGGGCTATGCGATAACATAACTGCACTCGAAAGCGACCTGCTCCCTGCCAACTAGCTTTCGAAAAGGACCCACCGGATGACATTTCCAACACCCAGGAGTTTAAACAAATAAAAATTGCATGCAAGAACATTTTCCTGAAAGTCACTTGAACCTAGCCTAGGGATCTCTTGCCTTCAGGTTTCACGGCTACATGTCCCAGCCATTTCATATCCACAGACATCATCACCCTATTAATATTTAATGGAGAGCAGAAATTATGACTACTACTACTTCAAGCGTAAACTGACGTGCTACGTGCTACAAGACAGGGGATCGAGTTCAGGCAGTGGCAGAGTTTTTCCGCCTCCCCTCAGCATAACTGTACCCAAACCTGCTTAGGGTCATTAAGCATCTTCCTGGCTGGCACGAAAAGTTCCTACCTCGGGTGTAAACAAGCGTGAACTCCATCCAGCGCGGAGTCACGTGCAAAAAGTATGTGGAGTTTTGCCTACATGAGCTTTATACGCTTTCATAGCGTGGAGTTCAGATAAAAGAGCAACTCCTACGGCAAATTCCCTCTAAACCCAGTGCAAAAGTCTCGTGCTTACGATTCACAACAAAACAATTCTAAAACATTTCTAAGCGATCCCCAGCAGAACTTCCTTTAGGCTAAACGCATTCAACACGTGTCGCTTTGATATTTAGGAACAGAGGGATAAGAATGAACATTATAACAGACAGAGAGACAAACTTTGAGGCTGCAAGCGTTTCGAACGGCAGAAACGTGTTTATTCTGATTTTACTTAACGACACCTTCTGAACTTCATGGATGAAACAGCCTTTCGCGAGAGGGTGGCTGTGGACAATGAATAGCAAGTGGTAGTGGCCTATTATAAGGCGCTGTTTCGACATTTTTTCAATCCTCAGTGAAGACAGTATGCGTATTGGCAATAAATACGATCTGGGGTAACAGTGAACTTGGAACTTGGGCGCTTGTCATTCAACCGAGACAATTTCTGACACAGTCGGTTATTTCGGGTTTGCGTGCTACGGTGTGCAAATCACAGCTGTATCCGACTTGTTTTTTGCTCACGAGGTATGTGAGAAGAAACACATCTGCTCAGTCTGCAACACTGCACTGCTCTTCGGGGAAGCAATCAGTCAGTAAAATAACTGGATAAGGGATGGGCGGCTGGGGTTCGATTCCTAGCGGGGGCACTGTGGCCTCCAGCGGATAAAGCGGCTGGAACGTAAAGATGATCATTCACCTCTGCCTGGGCCTATAATGTATGGAACTTGGCCGATTCCTGGGTTATTTACTGACACTAATTCAAAGTCAAAAGTACAATAAGATGGTGAGTAGAAAAGAATTTGGAAGGAGACGGTTCTAGTATATCTGAAGACATCATGGTGTTACACACATCTTCCTTCAACGCTTGCGGACAGGTGCTTCGTTTTTGTCTGAAATTCAGAAATTCGCACCGCGAAAACTATTTCGCATTCATCCTGGTTTTTAGATAGCTGAGTTTCACACCCACTCGCGTTAAATTAAATTTCGTCTCTGAAGGGTGCCAATTTACTGGAGTGACATTTCAGATTCATTAATTTAATTTATCCTTGCGCAAATTAACAGTTCTGTGTGTGGGGGGGGGACGTAATGCGGTTACCGGAAGGAATGCCACACAAGAACAAAAAATTCGGTCCAGCTCCAGTCCGCGAGAAAGCAGAGACAGCACAGGACGCGAGCAAAACTGGTACAAAGGCATGCCACACGCCCGGCCAATCCTCATACTCGATGCATTTTGTGCATCTTGTTAACCGAGAGCTTATACCTAAATAGTTTTGAAAGTGGCCCATCAGAGTGGCGGAGGAAGGCATTATTAAGAGTTCACTATAACTTACCCCGTTCTTTGTTCAGGGTGCCAAGCGAACTGACTATTACCTTTGACGACGCGTGGTACAGTATTGACTCACGTCAGATGCTGTTAACACACAAGATAAATATCATAGCTCCCTGAACAAACTTTTATGCTTGGCAATGCCATGACCGGAACAGCATTTCAAAACGATTTTAAGGTATAAGTTTATTCACACCGTCTCCACACAGCACAATTTCAGATTAATAACTTTGCTGTACAGTTCATGCCAGGAAGAAATGCGCCGAATTGCGTTTTCCGATATACACATACTTCAGCCAGACTTCACATCACCCATAAAACACCTGTTGCCTAGGAAGATAGCTCCCCCCCCCCTTCTGCTGTCCTGAGTCAATGGCCACCACGATCATCCGACTTTGAAGCCACTCTGCACATCGGATGTTGCGTCAGCTATTAAGAACATGCTAATTGTGCATGTTCATTAATTTATTTAGCTTCGTGTTCGTTGGTTCTTCGTTTCCTTAACGAAGCTTCATCACTTAAAAGCTTTATAATTATCTACATTAGCAGTGAAAGCAGTCGCCAATGTTAACACAGCGTTGCGGCACACTACAGCGTGAAGAGACGTGCTTTCAGTTGCTAGAACAGAAACACCCATTCCGTTCTGTGTTGAACCATCTGCTTAATCATACAAAGATCTAACTTCGAGGCTCAAAGCGATTCCATGTTGCACCCAGTCGTCATCGCAAAGAAACTAGGTCAGCGATATCTGCTCGGCTGCGCTATTGGGTACCTATGATGAAGTGGCCTACCGACCACTTACGACATCGCAGTTCCCTAACTGGTGGCACAGCTGTCCCGTAAGTGTGGTTAATTCTGCGCTCCGACAGCCGCGACTCCAGCTAGAACAATGGTTCAGAACCATGGACTGGAAGAGATCGTGACTTTTTAATGCGACACGTCTGAAAGGACTGAGGAAAACTACGAATAACTGCAATCAGTAATAGCTATTAACACAAAACAAGAGGTCAACCACAATACTGCGATGTTCGACACACACTTCAACAATAAGAACATGCTACTGAATCCGATATGGAGCCAGTTCAGTCCAATCCACATTACCAGAACATGTACCTCCTTTGATCCATCGTCGACCTTTCAGGTGAACGCTGTTTCTTCTTGTAGCAAACGTAGTTTCAACGCGGAGGTTGACTAGTTACGAAAAATTCCTTCTGAAGTATGATACGTGACGTCAGTATTAACGTCGTGTTTGCATAGAGCAGAGGAAAAAACATTTTTATCTTCTACTTACAGTACTCGTATCTTTAATACGTCCTCTGCAACACCAAGGGGAAACGTCGGGACGTCGCGCGTCGTATTTATGCCGTC